GGTGTTATGTTTTGACCGAGTGTTCTGGGATCCAAGTGTCAATTTGTTCGGGCATGTTGGCAGCACAACTGCCAGCAGAGGGGAGCTCTTCCTCTTCTGGAACCTCTATAAAGGTAACTGCTTCTAGTTTCCAGGTTTTTCTTGGTTTTTTGTTTTGTTTTCCAAATCCTTTTAGGAACACAAAATGAGGAATATTTAGGGTTTTCATAAATGTATGCCTTAATTTTCATTAACTTGGGAGTTCCTAAAATCCCTTCTAGGTATAAGAGAATACCAAAAAAAAAAAAAAAAAAAAAAAAAAAAAAAAAAAAAAAAAAAAAATCACACAGCAGAAGGGGTGGGCCCCAGGAGGCTTCCTGGAATAGGAAGTTTATTGCTCATTTTCTGACTGTCACACCCAAACTTGGCCCGGAATCTTTGATCACTTCCTTTAGAATGCATTTTCCACATTCCTGTCTCCTGTTATTTTCTTCTGTAATTGGACTATACTTAATTCTGTATAGAGGTAAATACAGTATCATTTATACCCCACTGCACTCTCAGATAACGGATGTACTGCAGACACAGCTGAGCCACCTGACCTCTCCCCGGTTCCTCTCATCACCCCTCCCTGCCTGCTAGCCAAGTGTCAGCCAAACCTCTCAACTTCACAGAAGAGCATGTGTGGCTGTCTGGCAACAGCTCAGTGCTTTTTCTCTGTCCATCCCAGCCATCAAGTCCTGTCCCTGCAGCCTCAGCGTGTCTCAGGCCTGCTGTGCTCCTCTTGTGCTACCTGCTTCACAGGTCAAGGTACCCGACAGGTGGCTGTGGTTACATCTCTGCTGCCAATGTCTGATGGCTTTCCCTTGTTGAAGGAGAACACTTGGGTTCCTTTTCATGGCTTCTATGAAGCTCCTCATAATCTAGCCTTCCTCTATTTCTGTCTTCTCCTGTTCCCCAATCCAGGCACACTTGCTTGTCTGATACTAGAATATACCATGCAGTTCACTACTTCAGGACCTTTCTGTGCACTGTGGCCTGGGCTGCCTTTTTTTCCTTCATTTCTTCCTCACTGACAAGGCTTACTACTCTGTCCTCCAGGTCTTGAGTTAGATGTCAGAATATTTGAGATTTTTCAGGACACAAACATCCTGGAATTCCAACTAAGTCTGAGTTACTGTAATGGAGTATAGTCTAGCCCAGTATCTAGCCCTGTGCCTGTCATGAAAGTTGTATAAATATTTACCAAATGGGTGACTAAAGGTGGTGATGGGCTTGGAGGGGCTTAGGATAGCCGGGAGGAATGTAACCATTGTTAGGGACCTAGAAGCATCTTTCTACATATAGTTAGTCTGGTCAGGAGGGCTGTATGTTGCCAAGCTGTAAGCACTGAGGTGCCTGGGAGCCACGCTTGGCTCGTAGTAGCCTGCCAGCTTCCTTCGGCCTATGTCCGCAGATAAGTTTTCAGCAACGTAACTTATTTCTCACATTGGATGCTGCATGTCTCATTAGATTCAGAGTATCAGAAGCCTGACAGGGAGATTCTTGCGAAAACTATAGAAAGATCCTGGAATTGTTCATCCTGTTTCCCCAGCTCCAATACTTTTGGCATTGGTGGCAGGAGAAGCTGCTGGCATCATGGAAAACATAAGTGATGATGTGATTGTGGGCCGGTGCCTAGCCATTCTCAAGGGGATCTTTGGTAGCAGTGCAGTGCCCCAGGTAAGTAGGTGGGAGGGCAAGCAAGGTCTGAGTCCAGGCTACATCGGGCTTGGCTTGACATAATTCATGTTTGGCTAAGTACTTGGTCAGTCTCAGAATTATCTGTGCTGAAATTTAATAATCATTAATATTGGAAACTGCCCTACAAATGACAGTCAGAGAAGTACCCCGAGCTATAGATGGTTAGCGTGGTTTCTCCCCTGCCTATGGAGCCACACAGCCCTGCCTTATACATGGAGTAGTCAAACTCCAGGGAGTCCCTTTAAGAAAATCTCTTGCTAATTTTGTCCTTTAAGCCCATCGTAATGTATAGCTGCTTATGATTTCTTTGATGGTGATGTTAATGTTCTATGTGAATTTATAAAAACAAAGATCAAGTCCTAGACCTGGATTGGATCCTTCTCTAGACTGGGACACAATGGAGGTTCCTTCAGTCTGAAGCCATCTTGCCTTAGAGCATCACCTGGCTCACATATTTGCCTCTTCCCCATGTACCCGCCCATCATTTCTTTTCCACGTTTGACAGATGACTGATTTGTCCTTGTTCCAATGGGTTCTGCTCATTTTTTTCTTTAGCCCAAGGAAACTGTGGTGTCACGCTGGCGTGCTGATCCCTGGGCCCGGGGCTCCTACTCCTATGTAGCCGCAGGATCATCTGGAAACGACTATGATCTGATGGCTCAGCCAATCACTCCTGGCCCCTCAATTCCAGGTGCTCCACAGGTGAGAAACCGGCAGACTACATCTGGGTCTCTTGGGGTACCACCCGGTGTCCCAGGATCTTGGGGGAAAGATGCCACTTTTGCTTTGATTTTAGTCATTTAGACACTTTTCAGATAACCTGAGAAATCATATTTGTATCTGATTTCTCATATTTTAGCTTTGTAAATCTAGGCAGTCTACATTCGAAGTAGAAGCATCCAGAGTAAAAAGAAGTCAGTAACTTTTTTCCCAGGGTTTCCCTGCCTTAAAAAGCAAAATCCATTTTAAATTGTCCCTCACTTTGTAGTGACTCATAGGATTATGGGGTCTCAGGATCAGTAGGGGCTTCAGAGCATACACCCAGGAAATAGCCTCAGATCTAGAGTATGCTAGACCTTGTTCTGAACAGTAGTTAAGGGTTCCTCACTGTCACAGCCCTGGATCTGTGGCCTGCTCTGAACTGAGGTGCAAGTGTTTTCCTGAGTAAGAAAGTAAGACCCTAACCTTGCTGCCAGTAGGTACTTCAGGGGATAAAGAAAATCCTAGAATTTGGTCGTCAGCGTACTGCTAAAAGAAAGATGCAGTTAATAAGCACCACCCTAGACATGACCCTGGGTGGGTGTTATTGCCTCCCTCTGTCAGGTCTAAGAAAATATAGATGAGACCAGCGGGATGATGAAATAGTAGTGAGGCAGGGGGTGTAAGCCTTCAAGGCCAACAAGAATTTGGCAGTTCAGACACAGAAGCTGGGTGTGGTGGTGCACGGTTGTGATACCTGCACTCTAGGAGCTGAAGGACTGAGTATCCAAGTACAGTTGCGGCAACTTAGACCTGTTTCCAAAATGGAGGCGTACCAGGTAGCTCATACTGGAGGAGGCCCCAAGTTCAAGTGCCAGTACCACCAAAGGAAAAGCATAATGAAGATGTGGTTTTCCAGCAAACTGGAGAGCTGAGACAGGATGATGAATGCTGGTTTTTAAAAACCCGGGGTGTATTGTGATCTGCTTCTCCCCTGAATAGCCAATCCCACGCCTCTTCTTTGCGGGAGAACATACAATCCGGAACTACCCAGCCACAGTCCATGGTGCTCTGCTGAGTGGGCTGCGAGAAGCAGGAAGGATTGCAGACCAGTTCTTGGGAGCCATGTACACTCTGCCTCGCCAGGCCACGCCAGGTGTCCCTGCACAGCAGTCCCCAAGCATGTGAGACGGATGCACTGTGAAGGAGGGCGGCTTTGGGTCTTCACTGTGAGTGTTGCAGCTCTTCTGGCAATTCCAGCTGGCACTGAGAAACTCCTGCCCTGGCACCTGGACCCACTATTAGCAGGAATCCTTAAGTCTTCTTAAAGACAAAGGCAAGAAAGCGCTATAAAACATCTCAGTCTCTTGGGTTTTGTTTTTATTTTTTAATATTTTGAGAATAAAACTTCATATAAAATTAGTCCTCTTTTGTTTCCCTTTTGGGTTAGAGTTGTAAGGAGTGTTACTTCTGTAGAATGCCAGCATAATATGTCAGTAGTAATATATTTTGTGCTTTAAGGCAAATGTTCTTACTAAGAGAAAACCAGTTAGATCAGAAAATGAGGTTGAGGGGATTCTGTAGATGAGGACTTGCCTGACTTCTCTGCCGGGATTGTGGTGACAGGCCAAGAGTGGATGGTTTGGGACACTGGCTTCACTCTGCCTTTATTCTCAGATCCTTTCTATGGGCATATACGTACCGGACCGTAAGGCTGGGGAAATACTACCTAAGGGCGAGGGCAGGGGCTAAGGTAACTTAGCTGATGTCACACACTACCACAAAGTGACTTAATACAATAGAAAGTTTCTGCAGTTCTGGATGGCCAGAGTCTAAAGATGGCAGTTTGAAAGTGAAAAATAAGTCTGGCCTGAAGGGCTCTGCTTGGTGGAGGCTGTAATGGAAGAATCCATTTTCTTTTCATTCTTAGCATCTAGTGCTCTCTCTTGCTCTGTGCCCCTTCCCTTGTAGTGCGACCTTCCTCCCTCTGAAGGATACTTGTGTTTTTTCTGTCTCCTTAATTATGTCTGCAAAGTCTCTTTGCCTTATAAGGTAGACATTTTTACAAAAAGCAGCAAACAGTAGTGTTCCTTCCTGAGGGCTCTTAACAGAAAAACCATGTCACTGTACAGACGCAGAAGTCAGATTGTACTCAGCATTAGTCAATCTTCTGATGGTCTCAATGAGGTCCTACACATCGCTGGTCTGACTGGAAGATGGAAGGGAACTTGCAAGCTGAGACCCACATGCAGTGGAACATTCTTGGGCTTTGAGGTACATCTTTGAACCCTGATCCAGTGGTGGGTGCTTCTAGTTTGGTTTTTTGTTTTTTAATAAATGCATAGGCTGCTTGAGAGAGAATTTTTTTGTGATAAGCCTGAAAATAAAATGTAGCAATGAAATAGCTGATGATTTTACTCTGGTTCATGACAGACCCCAGGCATGTCCTTTTCCAGACCTTCTAGCATCGGTAATCGGCATGTTTTACCTAAAATAGTGACATATACTAGCTGTATCTGCATAGAGGTAACAGTTGCATAAAGAGATGACATCAACAAAACTGGCATCAGACTCACAGAGCATATGGAAACTAGGGAGCTTTATTGGTTAACATACTGTGCTGCAGAGCCAACAGAGAGAGCATTAGAGCCAGAGGATACATGCAGACAGGCAGCTTTGACTACACACATGCACCCAAGGAGCCCTGAGCCACTGCTCATGGCTTTGGTTCTGGCCTTCTTGGTCCCATGCTTGGAGCAGAAATGTGGAAGCTTCCAAGGGGCAGGGGTGAGGCCAGAGCACCTATCTGAGCAAGTAGGTGTGTGGACCAACAGACTGATGCCCCCAGCAAGGGGCCTATAATGCAATAGCAGTTTATTTGAAGGCTATCTTCCTAGCCCTCCCTATCTTTAAAATACAAAAAATAGACTTTATTCTCTTAAAAATACATTCCATTCAGTACATGTTCTGAGCTGTGAAGCAGCAGGAAAATAGGGCCCCTTTCCTATGATCTTGACTGAGGCTTTGAGGAGAACTCTATTCCCCACTTGGGATATTCAAAAGAAAATCCCTAAAAGCAGCCGTTCTGAAGCAGTCCTGACAGAGAAGCTCACACCAGCAGAAAGAGAGGGACCCAGTCCCAGGGGTCTGGATCCCTGTTCCTTTACTGGGAAGTGGCAGCACTTGGCACTGTGACCCACTAAATCTAAGGAACTAGAACTGCCCCTGAACGAGCAGTCCGAGAACACCATAGATGCCCCAGCACCCCAAGAGAGGGATGGCTTATGTGCAAGCTTGCTGGCAATGAGGTTGGAGTCCTAGGTCACACCCAGATCCCTGCCCACACTCTCAACCCACACTCTCAACCGCTTCTTTGCCACTGAGAAGTAAAACCTTCCTATAGCTGTGGTGTCTACCATCCCTCCAGCTCTCTCTGGCTGTTCAGTATCAGAATGACGAGATACAGTGCTAAGTGACAAAGACACACCCTCCTGGCCTTTAGCCAGCTCTTCCACCTCACAGCCAAAGAGATGGGTTCCCCAGCTTCCCTAGGAGCCTTCCCCAAACCCTGCACCTGCCAGGAACATCTAGTCAGGCAGGCTGCAGAAGACACTTGGCATAGAGGTGGGTTGGCTGGGACATGGGACTATTCGGTTTCGGCAACTATTCAGTTACCAGGTCTCCCCTCTCTCTGGAGGCTTCCTCCAGGACCCGATTGTGAGGACTGGATCCAAATGGCCACACCGTAGTTGCTTTTCAGACATGTGCCTTCCAACTTTGGAATCTGAGAGCCAGCCTTGCCAGCCATTTGAAGTCCAGAGGAACTAAGCCTCTAGTCTTCACTTGCAAATACATATTTTCTGCAACGCTGAGGATATTTAAAAATAAAATCTATTTTACAGCGGTTCTATAAAGTGTGCAGATTAAAGAAACATAAAATATTTATCCTGAAATAATTGTTACAATCAAACTCTATTGCACTCAGATTTCAAAATGGCAGCCCCAGGAAAAGGGCACCACGGCTGTCCCTTTTCCACACAGCATTGTATCAGCAGATGTCAGCGCTGCTAAAAATGTGGAAAGATCCAGACTTTGGCACCAGGAGCTACAGCACCAGAATCCAGGGTTCTAACACCCAAAGACAGAAAAACAGCGAGATCTTTTTTGGCATGGCTTGGCATTCCATTTCTATCAGCATCTTTGCCACAGAATTTCCTATGCGCAACTGACCGCTGCAGAGGTCAGTCTCCTTTGAACTCAGGATTGCCCATGGGTGAAGGAGAATGGTAGAGAAGCTGCAGGTGGAGTTTTCACCTTGACTGAGCAAGCTTCTGGCCAGTGACCCAGGAGAAGCAGCAGGGAAGAAATCTTGCATACAGCATCCTGCATTGTGCGTCTTAGGTGCAACGTGGAGCGGAAAGGCCAGCCCTTCACCTGGCAGAGCTCCAGAGCACAGAAGTAGGAGCTCTCCAAGCCTCATGGCCGTCTGACACAAGGGCAGGATGAACACCGCTGCCTGTGCTCGGTGGAGGCACTGGTAACCACTCGCCGACCTCCAGAGGAAGTTCCAGTCTCCCCTCTCCCCAGGAAATCCACAGGAGGGGCACAGGACAAGACACACAACAGCCTTGTTTTAGAAAGCACCCAGGCTGCCAGCCAGGCGCTAACACGTGGCACTGGACAAGGCCTCAGAGTATCTGGTCCCTTCCTGTGCAAATACGGGCCTGAGGAGCTTCTTGAGCTCACCCGCGTGAGACAAGCACGTGCAGATACTAAGCATAAGGCCTACAAAGACAGCTCAAGGCAAGAGGGAAGATGTTCCCCAAGCCTCTGAAGACAGAACCCCCACAAAGCACAGTGAAAACAGACAAACCTTGGATTCCAGACTGAGGGCTCTGAAGAGATTCCGTTTACAGACAGGGAAACTAAGGTTCCCAGAGGACAAGGACTCACCCAAGATTACACTGCAAGGAAGTAATAAAGCCTCAGAGAAACAACTTTCTAGACTGCTAGTCTAATGCTCTCTGCTGCTGAATGGCGTCTGCTTCATACAAGTAGCCTTTAAAGGAGACTGAAAGATGCTGTAGAAAAGGCAGCGCCACAAATACAGTTCTAACTTCCCCATGACGGGTATAAGGAAACTAGTTGATGCTTTCATCGTTGTTGTAAGGTGTGGCTTCCTGAAAGACTGCTGCACTCTGAACTGTATACCCCTAAGGCCCTCAATGGGCAGATAACCTTTCCTTGGAGGAAGTCACTGTAATGATAGTCGACTTGCAGGAGTCGGGGCCACTTCTGTAGGAATGCATCAGCATGGTAAAGTGCGAAGCCTCCTCCGCCTGGGATGGAGGAGGAGGAACAAGAGGGAGGATTCTCAGTCCATGCCTTTCGTGGAGCTATTGCTTGTGGAGTGACTAAAGGGAAACTGCTTCTTCCTATCTGCTTTTCCCCTTGCTGGGGCACTTTCCAGAAGGCAGCATATGCTGGGTCAGGCCCAGCATAGTCCGGGAATTTTCCCAAAATGGGAACAATGAAGTCAGCTGAAGTCTCCAACCACAGGAGAGGGTGCAGTTTCTGCCAGCAGCATTATGGGTGCACAAGGAAGGAGATGCATGAGGCGTTCGCACTTCCGATGCCTTTGGAAGGTGACAGAGAGCTGGGGTGGGGGTGGGTTCATTCCAACAGGAATCTGCATGCTCTGCCCCAGAAACTAGTCAGCCAGAGAGCCAGGTCAGAGAAGCCTCGACCTACAAGACAGTCCCATAGTCCCTCAGAGGCGGCACAGACCCCCTTCTGCTTTCAGAGTCTGAGAAAAAGAACTCCAAGGGGAGAAGGAATGGACACTCCCCAGATGCAGCTAATGGCAGGTCATTCTTGGTGGGCACGAGGGTGCTCAGCAGAGACAAGGAGCATGGTGAGGAGACTGAGGAGGCGCTAACCACACTAAGAAGGGGCTACGCTAAAATACGAAACTACCCACCTGGGAGCACAGAATTTTGGCTACTGTTGTATAGTAAGAGGTTTCTGCGTCTCCCCACCTGTGGGCTAAAGTGGTCTATGCCCCGGGGCACAGGGGCAAGGAAACAGGACTCATGCACCAGGGAATGCTGGGCCTGCGTGACTGTCCGGGTGGTAGTCTGTGATCTCCTCTGGCCAACTGGCAAAAATTACCTGAGCCACACCCCAGCTCTCCGCCAGTCTCCCAGCCAAGGCTGTGTCCTGCTGGTTAACTGGTCTTAGATACTTTGCAGGACAGGAGGTGGACAAGCTGAGAAGCGGGGGCAGAGCCTTCACCCCGCCACCTCAGTTCTCCTCAGCACAAGGCCTACTTGGCCGCAGTCGCTCCTCGGCTCGAATTCGCCCAAGCTCTGGCAGCTCCAGCTGCACAGCGGGTTCAGACCGCTCCAAAGAGTTGTGCAGTCGCCTGTGGACACTGAGTGTGCAGTCTTCACTTTCCTCCTGTGACAAGAAAGGACAAGTGAGCAAAGCGAGCCACAGAAAAGCAGAGTGGACAGGACACCTACAACCTCCCACCACAGAGACAGAAAGACCATAAAATCACTGCAAAGATGGCTCCTCCTTGGAAATCAGGGTAGACCAAGACCTCCAGGCTGCTACAGATGACCACAGGCCAGGCGGGTCGCAGCTCACTGGGGCCCAGGCTCGGACAGCACGGGAAGGGAGCGCAGGCGTGGGACCCCTGAGCAGCAGCCCGCAGTGTGGGCTCTGCACATGCTGTGCTCTCCTGGGGCTGAGAGCCACTGCCTGGGTGGGGCAGGAGCATGGGGAAAAGAAGGCTGGGCAGCTGTGATTCTCCTACCCAGGTACCACCAGACACTCCCATGCATCCCCTGGGTGTCCTGTGCCTGTCCCTCTACTCCAGCGTTGCTTAGATGTGCAGTTTCAGAGCTCTGAGTACCTGTCTTCTCTACTCTGTTCCAGAATTCTGCCTTCTTAATGTTCTTTTAGTCTTTCCAACAAGTGCAGATCAAAAACAATCAAAGTATAACTTGGCTCTTCCAGGAATTCACCTGGGTGGCCTTGGTAAGGCACTCTGTGTCTGTGACCCACGGCTTCTAGGTCTGGAAAATGGGGATACTATCTGCTCACAGGGTCGAAGGCCTGAAGGCTGGTGGCAGCACGATGCTCTGCTCCTTACGGGAGTCTACAGGCTCGTCCAGTTAACGCTGCCGGGCAGTGGGTCAAGCAAGGTGTCTATCATGGTCACAGGCTCCACAGCTACAGGACACTCGCAGGGCTCCCACACCAGGCTCACACTCTGACCCTGAAATAAGGCAGGTGGTGCTGGATCTAGCCATTCTGAATCAGTCCTGGCCTTAGCTGAAGGATACAATGTGCAAGAGGGCAGCAGGCACCTGAACTTGTCCTTGCTCTAGGACAGAGCTCCCAGCTTCCTGCTGGCGCGCAGAGCTCCACGGGAACCACTGCAGGCTCCAAGTGCTGCTCTGGCAGACCAAGAGAACAGAAGCCAGATTTCCCTTTGCATCATTGTTACACATGAGAGCAAAGTGGAGGAGACAAACTGGAAAAGGGATGATGGAAAGTCACGCTATTCTCTGCCAAACCCACCTGGTACCAACCACTGTCTGGGCCACCCACTTCTCCCAGTGTGTGCCAGCCGCAGTTCCCAATCTAGTCACATGACTAGGCAGAGGTAGAAAAGGAAGAAAGGGAGAGCAGTGGGACTCACCATGCCTGCGGAATGGTTCCAGGCTGCAGCCAGGACCGTGTCTCCTGCACGACTCCGATGGGTGAGCACCTCGGACACCGTGAGGCTACTTTGGGTCCTTCTGGAGGAAAGCTCGGCTGCATCCCCAGAATTTCCCACCTTTCGAGGGCCTGACTCAGACAGGTAGGATCTGGGCTGTTCAAGTTCTGAGAAGTCTGTGGAAGACCTCTGGATGTGGGTAGTGGAAGGTCCCATGTTTCTACCTGCTTGGGTCGGGGGGTCTTCTAAAGATTTCAAGTCTCGCTTACTCTTCCAGGCATTGCGCACAGTAACATGCCTGGCGTCCGAGGAGCCTACCTCGGAAGGGGCGCTGTGGCTTTTCCACCTGATTGTCTCCGCTGGGGCAGCATGGCTGTTCCTCTCCACAGAATCCGATGGCTTGATGAGAATGCTGCTCCGAGACACCACCGTGTCCGGCCTGTTCTTTGAGGGCCCGTCTCCCAGTCTTTCAGCGTCTGCGAGCTGCACGCCGATGTCGTGTTTGTGAATAGAGAACTCCAACGGGGAGCTGACGTGGTTGCTAACCGGGATGAGCTCTGGGGGCCCCACCTGGATGTTGCTGGTAGATGTGTGCCTCTCCCTCGGGGTCTCCCCTGGGCTGGCTCTGGGGCTGCTGCTGTCAGAGGGATAGATAGTGATGCTGCTTGTCACTTTGTTTGGTCCTGGCTTACAGCTTGACTTCTGTTTCTCCAACACAGCCTCAGTTCCAGATCCACCCATGATTTTTTTCACATTCTTATCAATGATAACAGGTTTGATGACACCTCTAGACCGCAAGGCTTCTCGGGGACTGAAGGGTCTCTGGCTTTTTACCCCAGCACGACTGGCATCTGGGAGTTCCATGGAATTGCTAGAGCCTCTGACGGGTTTCACAGATTCGTTTTCGATCCCACCATTTTTATCATTCTCAAATAGGGAGGTTCTGTGTTCCCCTCGGGCTTTGGCCTTTTCTCGAGAGTTAGGAGGCAGTTTGGGTTCAGGCTCTGGAGTGATGGTTGTGTTTACCAACTTGGCAGTAACCAGAGATGCCGTGTCTAAGTCATCGTCCGAGTCAGGGTTCTCTCTGCCGCTGGATTTGATGACTCGACACCTCAGGGCTTCGTGCTGACTGCTGTCTTCCATCACAACTGCTATGGACTGCTCAGCTTCTTTATGTGCAGCGGAAAAGCCCTGAAGGATGTTCTCCTGGCTTCTGGAGCTGTAAGGGTACTTTGATAAAATTGGAGCCTTAGCACTGGGGGAAGCAGTATCCGCCTCCAGGCCGTTGGCAGCCTTTCTACTCTTTGAGAGGCCTTCTGCAGATGACCTCCGAGATGAAGCCAGCGCGCCAACAGCCTTAGAGCAGGCAGGGTCTGTGGCCTGAGCCAGCTGGCTTCCACCAGCAAGCACCTGTCCTCGCTTGCCAAGCGGGGCCTCCGACGAGGGCTCCGAAGCCCTCTCAGCCCTACCCAGTGCGTCACCAGGAACGGAGCCGAGCATGGAGTTACTAAATGTCCGCGTCGTCTTCTCCACTTTTCCCTTCAGTCCCCCCTCAGTGCCGGGTTTGGGCGTCCCCTTCCAGACTTTGTTGTGCTCCTGGGCAGCTGGGGGGTAGCGGCTAAGCACAGAGGGCTGCTCCCTGGCCCTCTTCCCTTCACTCTGAGAGGACCCAGGGGCAAACCGGTCCTCAGTTCTCCTTGCCTCCTGAGCCCCGCTGTCTGTACCCGCGCCCACGCTGGAAGCTTTGGCTGCCCTCCTGCTGGTGAGGGTGGGGGAGGAAACCTGCCTGCTGCCCAGAGTGTAGTGTTCACTGCTGAGAGGAAGCTCCCTGTTTCGCAGCCGGTCTCGCTTATGCTGAGGAGACAGGTCCCGGGATGCGTGCTTGGCCATGCTCGCCTCCCCACCGAGGCCTCTAAACTTAGTCCTCTCGTGCCTGCCTTTGCTGGACAGGAAAACCTCTTCCCCTTCTACCTCTCCGTTTTCTAACTCTTTTTGTTTCTTGATTTGTAGCTTTATCTCTTCCAGCTGACTGGCTAAGATTTTATTTTTATTTTGCTCACTCAGGTAATTATCTTGAAGGTCATTGTTTTTGGCCCTCATTTTCTTAAGCTCCTCTTCCAAAGACTCGAAATGTTTTATTTGCGTCTTAAGTTTCTCGATTTCTTGGTTAAGGTCTTTGACTTTGTTGTCCTCTTGATTTCGGTTCTTTTCATTTTCAGATTTGTTTCTTGTTTCATTCTCCACCTGCTTTAGGTAGTCCAGGGCATCCTTCCTTCTGGATTCCTTGGATGGCAGTGTGGAAGAGATGCCATCCTCAATCCGTAGGTCATTCCTTTCCAGAAGATTGGAAGCATTCCTTGTATAATCTCGGTTCATCTTCTTGTTCTGCTCCAGTTTCTGCGTGAGCTCTTTAATCAATTTCTCATTTTCTTTCTCCTTTTCATTCAAGTATTTCCTCTCGCTGACAAAGCTCAGCGTTAATGACTTCAGCTTTTCTAGCTCCGATGCTAAATTCTGTTCAGTTTTATCCAGGCGGTCCTCAGAAGATTCCAGTTCTTTCACTTTGACTCTGAGCATTTCCAGCTCAGAAGAGATTTTCTTGGTCAGATTTCTCTCCTCGTTCAAGCTCAAACAAAGCTGGGTACAGTCATTCTTACTCCTACTAAAGGCCTCCTCTAGTTTCTCCAACTCAGCCATGCGTTTCTGAAGTCGTTCAATCTCGCATTTCAGCTCCCGAGTAAGGTTTTCCTCTTCTTCAAGTTTCTCCTTCATCAGATGGCACAGATCCTCTGCCCTCTTAATTTCCTCATCTTTACCTTCAATTCTCAGCACCTGCTGGCGCAACACTTCGATCTCAGCCAACATGCTAGAGTTGCTGCCCTCCGCCTGAATCACCTTGTCCTGGAGGTCCAGGAGCTCATCCTCCGCTTTCTGGAGGTTTTTTGTGGCTTCCTCAAGCTCATCAAGGCGGCGACTCAGGCTCTGTAACTTAAACCGCAGGTGGCGGCTGGAGGCAGTATCTTTGTAGCTCGCAACTTCAGCCATGTCTACCGCCAGCTAATGTGGGCTCCCAGAGGCATCCAACTCCACTCGAGGGGATGAGAAATGGTTACCTTTCTCTTGGCACCCACAGCCTTCTTTGGCAGCCAGGGACCATTATCAGTCTAGAGAAAGAAAGCAGATACCATGTCAGTCAGTGAATATAAAAGCTGCACTTTGGATCTCACTTGTAAAAAGAGCTTCCCATTCCCATCTGTAATCCTTGTGCCTGGAACATAGCAGGTACTCAGATTTGCTGAATGAAAGATCTTGAATAAACCCATATAAAAACACTCACTCATTACAGCCCATGTTGAGCTGATACCTAGCTCCACCAAGATGAACGATGCTACCACTGGCAGTGTGGCAAAAAGACACAGAAGCAGGGCCAGTTCTCATGGAGAATCGTTAAACCTTTCTGTACACTGGTAAGTAAACCGAGCTTCAGTTTTAAATGTAAAATGAGGGTAATGATGTCTTCATACTGCATCTCTGCCCAGGACTGTTCAGAGATAACACATGGACAGCTCTTGGCAATAAAGCACTGAATTCTGAGTCATTATAAGGAAATGTTGTCTTGTGAGCTACTGTGACTTAAAATGATACAAATAAATCTACCCAGCTTACTATATAAAACGGGGAGCTTTACACTGTGCTAAAGCAATCTTCCTGTACCTGTTTCTTCTCCCAAAAATGTGGCTATATTTTAAGTGGGATTCAGGGCAAATAGACCCTGACCAGCCCACAGGCAGCTTCTGCACAATATACCCTTTTGCATTAAAATGGAAATGCTCATTCAGCGTGAAATGAAGAAAGCTGTTTCTTTCGAAACCATTTCATTGGGGGTACACACTGCACGCCAAAGAAAAGAAAGAAAAGGACTTCAGTGTTGTGGATGGATCTAGAGAGTACAATGCTGGGATCGAGGGTGTGTGATTACTAAACTGGCCCGCTGATTGGTTGGCAGAGTTCTGGGTAGGACTGAGGGTGTGAGTGCTACCGCCCTTCAGGGCCTACAGCCTGGGTGAGAGACAGGAGACAGAAAGAGTGCTTGTCGCTTGTTGCTACCGCTGCTGTTGCCACTTTTCTTCTGCGGAGGACCTCCTGCCTGTTCCCTAATGTCCCCTTGCCATGTGCCACCCTGCCTTGGAGCCAGCCAACTATGACCTGAAACCTCTACAAACTGGGCTACAATAAACTAACTGCCTACCCCCTTAACTTTGGGAGTTGGGTATTTTGTCTCAGCAATGAGAAAAGTAACCAAAACACATGTCATTTTCTCACTCATAAAAAATAAGAGACTATATTAACCTAAAGACTAACCTTGTACTGTGACTGAGCAAAGTACCAATAAAATATTAAGTGTATTTCAATGCTTGAAGTTATAAAAAGATAAACAGGAATAAGGCACTATCAACAAACATCAAAGATTGGAAAATCAATCAAATAGATCTAGAAACAGTATGAAAACAGCATATTACATGCAAAGAGAAAAATACAAGATGTAATCAAAAAATACAGGAAATGTTTAAATTTTAAAAATTGTTATACGGCTGGGGATATACCTCAGCCAGCACAGTGCCTGCCTGACAAGCACAAGGTTATGAGTTCAATAGTACCAAAGTACTATTACCAAAGAAAGGAGAAAAAAAGAAAAAAATAGAACAGTTACAACAGACACAGCCCCAGAGCCCCTTTAAACACCTGGCTTCTCTTCTAACGCTCTCCCACCCTTCTTGCCACGTTCTGAAGCCCTTCTGCAAGTCCTCGTTCATGTCTTTAGCTCTACAGTCATGGCTGCCTCCATGTCCGGAACTGCTACCTTTCAGTCACTGTGTTAGAGAGGCACCTGCAGCCACACTGCTGGGCCCGGTGGGAGGACACACTGTTTCCGGCTGCCTGCCCTTCCCCCGACAGCACCTGGCAGCTGCGTTCACCTATGCCTGGTGACACCATGTAACAAACATCTCTCCTGCAAGCTGACCAGAATGACAGAATAAGAACATTTGGAGGAGGCGGTGCCTTTGAGGGGGATAAACCAGTGTGTCTTTCACAGGATTTTTGTTTTGTTTTGTTTTGTTTTTTGTACCATAGATTGAACTCACCTCACACTTACCAAGCAAGTGCTTGAGCCGCTGAGCTACATCCCCAGCCCCATAATGCATTTTTTAATTTAAACATTCATTGTGTATTTTTTATCACACTTCACAGTAGTTAAGAAAAAATATAATGGATTACAAAAAGCAGCAGACAGTGAAAAAGACGGAAAAAGTGAGAAAGAAATAGACAGATAAAAGTAAAGAGATCCAAAACCAAGAAGCCTAATAGGCAGCCCAAAAGGGTGAAACAAGGAATGGGAACATTCATTATTTGATGAGATATTAGTGAAAATTTTTCAAGAGCTGGTGAAAGCTGTAGGACTTAATATGTGGGAAGCACTATCCCAAACAGGAGACATTAAATTTGGACCTAAATGCATGATAAGGTTAGAGAAGATCCACACAGAGAACTTATAAAAGCAACACATTTTTTAAAAAAAAATCAGCTGTCTGTCAGCTTGTGCTGCTCTAACAAAAGGAGCTGCAGACGTGACTTGGGGAGAAGCTCCTGGGCCCAGCCGTAGCACGGCGCTGGCTCCCGCTCCCTCTCCACAAAGGCAGAAACTGTCCTTTAGCAAAGGGAGAGGCTCTAGAAGGAATTTGGTAAGCAAATAAATGAACCCAAAGAAACACTGCCTCAGTTAAACAATAAAAATCAATGTAAACCACAATACCTGTTTATGTAGACTGTTGTCCAAAGCACTAGGCAACAGTAACTTGTAAATCACCCAGACAGGAATCAAAGCTTAAAAGCTCTGAAGATTTTATATTGTTCAGAAAAGAAAAGAGTTATAATCAACTTCCGACTGTAAAGTAAGATATCTAACATCTGTTAATCACATCTGATAAGGGGCTAAAATTGAGAGTATATAAAGAGGTTCTACAACTCAATTATATAACTCTAATTCAGTCAGTCAACATTAAATAGAAGAAAAGCAATAAAAAATAGAAACAATCAAGAGGGGAAAAAATCAAACTTGAAAGATCAAAAAAATCAGTGAGACTTTAGCAGAGTAAGAAACAGATAACCAATGAATTGATAATATCAGAAATAAAAATAATAAACATCACTATAAATCTTATGGACGTTAAAAAGATAAAGGAATTAATGAACAATTTTATGATCACAAATTATAACCTAGATGAAATGGATAAAGTCGCAATCTGTCCAAATTCACACAGTGTACAATCTGAATAGGATCACATCCACTAGAGAAACCAAATTATTAGTAACTTTCCAAAACAGAATGTACCATGGGTGCACTAAGGAATACTATCAACATTTAAGCAGCAAAATATACCAGTTTTCTGCAATTTCTTCCACCAGATGGAAGCAGCAGGATTACTTCCTAGCTCATTCTCTGGGGCCATCATTACTCTAGCAACAAAACCAAAGACTTACCAGAAAAGAAAACCAGACAAATTATCTCTCATGAACACAGATACAAATATCTTCAGCAAAGCATCAGCAAATCTAATCTAACAGTGTTTAAGAATTATACACAACAAACACGTAGGATTTCTCCCAGGGATATAAGAGAGTTCAATATCTGAAAATTAATTAATGTAATTCACATCAATAGATTAAATAAGAAAAATAAGCAGATTGTGGTGGTGCTCATTTTGAATTCCAGCTACTCACCAGTAATTCTAGTATGTGGGAGACGGAGGCAGGAGAATCACAAGTCAAGGTCAGACTGGGCAACTTAGCAAGATCCTGTTCTAAGGGTTAGGAACAATAGTATAGCAAGTACCTAAGCACAAGGACCTGGGTTCAGTTCCTATCACCGCCAAGAAAAGAGAGAAAAACTGTATATTACTAGACACAGAAAGTACATTTGACAAAGTTTAATTGTTATTCATCATAAAAGTTCTTAGTAGTCAAGCACAGTGGCACATGCCTATAATTCTAGCTAACTGGGAAACTGAGGCGTGAGCATAGCAAATTCAAAGACAACACTAGGAAACCCCGTGACACCTTGCCTCAAAGTAAAATTGAAAAAGGACTGGGGATGTAGGTCAGTTCTACAGAGTTAGGGTTCGGGGGAAGAGACTGAAACTCATCCTGCTAGGAGGTAAAGATGTCCCTCTCTCCTCATTCCCATTCAACACTGCACACGCCATAAAACAATGAATACTGATTATTTAAACTGTCTTTGCAAACGACATGTCTGTTTACATAGAATATTTAAAGCCAGGCACAGTGGCATACACCTGTAATGCCAGTGGTCAGGAGGCTGAGGCAAGAGGACTGCCACAAGATTGAGGCAAGCTTGGGCCTGAACTACACAGGGAGACCATGTCTCAAAAAAAAAAAAAGGAAAAGAAACAGAAAATCCAAAATAACAGACACAAAAGCCATCAAGAAACAGTATCTGACAATAGCAAGGTCGCAGGACACAAGGTTAATATCTGAGTCAGTCATTTTCCTACATAACAGCAATGAACAACTAAAACTTGAAATTAAAAACAATTATCCTTTGTATTAACACTCCAAAACTGAAAGTTATCTCTAAATCTAAAACAAGATACAAGACAATGTACACGCTCACACCCCTTACACAGTGTTGTGCAACTATAAAACACTGATGAAAAGCCTCAAAGAAAAGCTAATCAAATGAACAGAGAGAGGCCCCTCATTCATGGGCAGGGAGACGAAGCACTGTCAAAATGTTAAGTTTTTGAGCCAGGCGTGGTGGCTCACACCTGTAATCCCAGCACTCAGGAGGCTGAGGCAGGAGGATCACTGTGAGTTCAAGGCCAGCCTGGGCTACAAAATGAGCTCAAGGCCAGCCTGAACTTCATAGAGAGACTTGTTTCAAAAAGACCAAAAAAAAAAAAGATGTTAGTTTTTCCTGACAATTTATGGATTTAAGACAATCCCAATAGGCCATTTTGTGGACACCAACGAACTGACTCTAGAATTTGTATGAAGAGGGAAATTTCCAGAAAACCAGCACAACATTAAAGGACAAGAACAAAGTCAGAAGACTTAGGTCAGACCTACTGTACAGGTACAGAATCCAAGACAGTGTGTACAGGAGGATGAACAAACAGATCAATAAAAGCAAACATGATGTCATGAGTTCAATCCCCGGCATCACAAAAAAAAATAAACAACAACAAAAAAAAACCCTTATGAACTAGGTTCATTAAGGTGAAATATACTTTCTCAAAGACATCACCAGGGAAATAAGAAGACAGACTACAGAATGAAAGAAAGCATTTGTAAAAGATATTTGAGCTGGGCGTGGTGGCTCACACCTGTAATCCCAGCACTCAAGAGGCTGAGGCAGGAGGATCATTGCAAATTCGAGACCAGCCTGGACTACAAAGTGAGCTCAAGGCCAGCCTGAACTGGATAGAGACCATGTCGCAAAAAAAAAAATTGATGAAAGACTGCTATCCAAAATATATAAAAATTCTTAAAACTCAACAGTAAGAAAACAGTTTAAAATTGGGCCACAGACCCAAATAGACAACTTATTAAAAAATACATCTATACAGATGCAAATAAGCATATAAAAAGATGCTCACATAATTTGTTATTTTAGAACTGCAAATTTACATAATTTGATATTTGGAACTGCTAAGATACAGAATATCACCATATAACTATAAAAATGACCAAAATCCAAAACACTAGCACCACCAAATCTGGTAAGGATGGTAAGCCCAAGAATTCTCATTCATGCTTGGCAGGGACACAATTTGGTGGTTCCTTGCAAGACTAATATATTCTTACCATATGATCCAGCAGTCAAGGTCCCTGTTGCTCAAATGAACTGCAAAACATACAGGCAAACATTAAGAACAGCTTTATTTATAACTGCCAAAACTTTGAAACAATCAAGATACTCTTCAATAGATAAATGGACATGCAGTGTGTTCAAAATATATGGTGCACTTTTTAATGTATTACCCTAAACACATTGCATTCATCCCCCCTAAAAAAATACTCCCCCTTGCTTCAAACACACATCTCAACTGCTTCTACTTTCTGAAGCAATTCTGCAAGTCCTCTTTCATGAATGCCTTTTCAAGATATGATCAAAAATACAGTGAATGCGTCTGCTATCCAACACAGAAAAGCAGGCTGTAAAAACACTATGGTGGGGCTGGAGATTTAGCTCAGCGGCATAAGCGCCTGCCTTGTGAGCAGGCAGTCGTGAGTTTGATCCCTGGTACTGATAAAAAAAGAAAAAGACCCAAAAAAAAAAAAAAAAAAAAAACCCACAATGGTGTCCGCAGCCACTTTATTCACTGGGTCTGCACTGTGCAACTTCTGTTTCTTCCCCAATGTCAAAATGGCCATGAAAAGGGAACACTTTCAATCAACTCAGAACACAGGCAGACATGACAGTGCAACTGATGACAATAAAAGACAACAAAACTGCTGCAGAACGTGTAAGCGTGGTGGGATGAGTGTGTTCAAAGTGAAAGGGGTTCTGACGGGGGACTGATACCAAAGTCTCTTTCACTGAAACACTGTTTTTTGTTTAGTGTTCTGTGTATTTTTCAATTTTCAATCACGTGTCATAAACTGGTAAATTCCGGCAATGAAACATTATTGCTAAAAAGAAATGACTTATCAAGCCATGAAAAGCAGGGAAAACCTTTAGGTGTATCTTAATGAAAGAAGCCAATTTGAAAAGGCTACATACTGTAGGATTCTAACCACTTTGATGCTCCAGAACAAAACCACACAGAAAGTAAGATCAGTGGTTGGCGAGAGAGGAAGGGAAAGTGAATAGGTACATAGGGCAGTGAAACACTGTATGGCATATAATACACCATTATACATTATAAATTTGTCAAAACCCATAAACTATATGACATGCAGAGTGAACCCTAGCATAGATTGTGGACTCTGGATGATAATGGTATGATGACTTAAAAACCAAGGTAAAGATCAATATAATTACTTTGCCAAAAAGAGATCACAGAGGTTAAAAATGGAGCAGGAAGACCAAAAAAGGTGGCTGGTGCAGTGATCCAGGCAAAGACAGCTATGGCCTGAGCCAGGCACTGAGCAGAGACCAGAATTCCAGCCCCATGAAGGCAGAACTGAAGGCCTGCTCTGGGCTGCACAGAACGCAAGGTGAGGAATGGTACTGAGGGTGACTGCAAGGCCGTGGCCTGAATCCGGGGCAGGGCGGCACTGTCACCTATGCCGATGGGGCTGAGCGCAGACACAGCCATCTGGAAAGGAAAAGAAGATCAGGAGTTCAGCTCAGGACATACCATCATGTGAGATATGAATCAGTCCGCCCAACAGACACATGAAGAGGCCACTGAATACATAAGCATGGTTGTCAGGAAAGAGATGGGGACAGATACAAATCTGTGAGTCAACATGCAGATGGTTTATAAAGTCATAATCTGGCTGAGTTTGCCAAGGAACTGAGTGGAGACAGAGAAAACAAGAGGTCAAAAGTCTGAGTCTCCATGTGGCCAGAATCTTTTCCTAGTAGAAACACAAAGTAATTAGCAAAGAACTGAATCAGTCAGTGAAGTTGCCAGAAAGCCAGAAGACTAGACGTATCATGGAAGCCCAGCAAGGAACGGGTTAAGGAGACGTGATCTGCTGTGACCTTAAAGCTGACTGAAAGAGAAGTAACTGAGGCAGAGGTGACACAGGGATGGCCATCGGCATGTACGGCAAAAGCACCACAAGCTGGGGCTAGGGAACATGGTCTGCTCCATAAGAGAAAAACATCCACCATCGGAGGGCAAAATCTGACCCCGAAAATAATCCCAGGGGCAAAACAAAAATAAAGTGGGACTTAAGATAGCCCGAGCTCCAGAGCACATCCATTGGCTGCACCGTCGGCGTCGAGCCGCCAGGAGGAGCCCCTGCCCAGCTCCTACCCAACTGCAGGGCCGGCAGGTGGGGAAACACCGCTGCCCTCCCTCAGCCTCTGAAGCCTCACCCGCCCCATCGTCGCTATCTACCACTCTGCTTCTCTCGGTACATGTTTCTCATTTTTGCTCATTTTAGCCCTTCTCTCATCTTTCCAAGTCTATGCTTTGTCATTATCCCAAAAATGCAGAGGGGGAACCCAATATTTACATATTTTTGTAAGAGGAACTTTTTCTTTTCTCTTATCCCTGGTCCACACCTCCTACTGAGTGCCACATATGAAAGTGCTGCCTTTGGCCTTGGGCCTAGCAGCACAGCAAGAACGAGCACTTTATACAAAGGGTGGAAGGGTCGGGACGGACCAGTGCGCACCACAGACCAGCCTGAAACGAGTGCATCCAAAGGATCTGCACTGGCCCAGCAGTCACTGGAAGATGAATGACATACAATGTCTTCAAAAGCTTTAACAGTGCACCCTTATAAATATGCTGGAAACCATCAAACTATACAGTTTTGATGAACTTCGCTATATATAAATTATATCTCAGTAAAGTTATCAAAATAAAAGAAAAACCAGCCAGTGGGCACTGTGTCAGTCCTGTGACCCCAGCCACCGGAGAGGCTAGGGCAGGAGAATCACTTGTGTCTAGGGATCTGAGGCCAGCTTGGCCAACACAGCAAGAACCCATCTCAAAAATTAAACAAATCCAAACTCTCTGACCCAGCCTGTTCTGCAATGATGAATACTGGTTTTCATGAACAGATCCCCTCTCCAAAACAAAGAAATGCTAAATTTTTAGTATAGTCCCATCTTCTGTCCCCTGGCTTTCTATCCACCATTCTTCCCTTTCTGCAAAGTCAGCTCTCTGTGAACTCTTTTATGTATTTTTACAAAGTAAGAAATTGTGAGATTACTTTAATTACTCATAGATCAATAATAACGAGAGTATACAGGAACACACAGGCAGAGCTGCAAACTGAGAACCACCGTATTCCATGCAATGTATTAAGCACCTCACATGCCTGTTTGCTTCAGGAATCCCAGGTCCAGTGTTCACACATTCTTAAACACACTGTTTTCCTGGGAATTCACATCCATACAGTGACACCATGATAGTCCTCCGGCATGCTAAGTGCTTTGCAGGACACAGAAATCATAACAAATAACAGATATTACTGTCACTAATCTATTGCATCTAAGTAGGAATGTAATGGCATGAAAACTCTCAAACTTACCCAGGCGCACAGCTAGTGAAATACCCAAATGATGAATCCAGATCTAGTTCCAAAATTCATATTCTTTTATAAATGCTATACTTGGGGCCTGGGGATTTAGCTCAGCAGCATAAGCGCCTGCCTTGCAAGCAGGCAGACGTGAGTTCGATCCCCAGTACCGATTAAAAGGAAAAAGGAAAAAAACTCCATCTGTATTTTCCTTTTTGTGTCAGGGAACAGAGTTGGTCACAAGATACCTGTTTCCTGGGCTGAGGCAGGGACCCTAGTCCGGGGCTGGGCCTTGACGGGTGTTTGGTTTCTGTCGGTAGCGCAGCAGGACTTGGAAGGGGTGTTTCAGGGGTAGGGAACACCAGAGCAGGACTCAGCTGTAAGAGCACTTGTTGCAGACAGGCTGTGTCCCTTGGGACATTCTGAAGCCTGCGGTGAGCTGGCGCCCGCACAGAACAGGAACCGCGGCTCCAGGTGGAACCACACAGCCAGAGCCACACACCCGCTCCATGGCTGGTGTTGTCAGAGTTTCTGCCTCCCTGATTCCAGTCTTGCCAGGGTGCAGGGCCCCGTACGGCTGTAAAGAATGTAAAGTGTGCGGCTGGGGATTTAGCTCAGCGGCATAAGCGCCTGCCTTGCAAGCAGGCAGACGTGAGTTCGATCCCCGGTACCGATTAAAAGGAAAAAGGAAAAAAAAAAAAAAAAGATCAAAATAAATGCTATACTATTTGGTCAAACTTTGCCTCAGTTCCTTCCCCGGAACAAAACAAAACCAACCTCACCTACTCCACAGAAACATTACATGCAACAAGTCAACAAATGCACTTTCTCAGTTGTGGCAGCCTATGCTTGTAATCCCAGCACTGGAGAAGCTGAGGCAGGAGGGTCACCATGAATTTGAGACCACTCTAGGCTACAAAGTGAGTTCAAGGCTAGCCTGAACTACATAGGGAGACCCTATCTCAAAAAAACAAACAAACAACAACACCTCACTTTTTGAAAAGTCAAATGCACTTTGAAAAACCAAAATCAGTAAAACAGTAGCTAATTCCTGGACTTTGGTGGTTCACAGTAATTACAGATGTGGGCTACACTGGAGTTTAATCAGGTAGAATCTCCCTAAACAGTGACCCACTAAATCATCTTTTCTACCCAAGGTAAAAAAAGAAAATGGATCAAAAGTATTAAGGGTGTCACTCACCTGCCTCTGACTATTTGAGCCTAACTAGCCAAAGAAAGAAATGCTCTCTCAGCCATCCACAAAGGGAAGGGGTAGAGTCTCTTTTCCTAGCACCCACCCCCCCCCGGCAAAATTCATTTCTTAATAAACATTTATGAAACTTTTTTTTACCCGTAATTTTGCCTAATCTGAGAATGAGAAAATTAAGACCTGTCCCTACTTTAAGGACTCAGACACATTGACTGTAAACAATGGTGAAGAGCCTTCCCCAGCACCCCGCGTGGTAACAGCACACAGCCTCTGCTCCCTGCCTTCTTAGACTTCTTTATTCTGTGTAGCACGTTTTATCAGAGACAGGTACAGCAGAAGCTTGGAAATCTAACTGTGCCATCTGGGAAGGAAATTATATTAAAACTAAAAAATATATATGTATCACAGGGGTGTGGTGGCGCGTGCCTATAATCCTAGCACTTAGAAAGCAGAGGCAGGAAGATTGCTGTGAGTTTCAGGCCAGCCTG